ACACTTTTACAGACTTGATTAGAGCTAATGGTTGATAAACTGGAATTTTGTCTGGGCCAGTGGCTTTCTTAGGGTTGAGCTTTTTGATAAAGAATTCGTGCTGAAATAAACTATTAATGAAATTTTCAGAGTGGTACATCTAATTGAATCAAAGGAGAGATTTAACATCAGTGGTGTTTCGGGCCAATCGAAACCTGTAATGTTTGTCGCTTAATAGGTTGTTCTTATCTAGGTGCTCAACAACCTTCTTTTTGATTAGAGGCCCAAAAAGATTACTAATGCTACCGATTAGACTGATGGTTCTATACTGAAAGGAGGAAGGTCGCCTGCCCGTGTTCTTGAAAACCGTGCATACCCTCAATACTTTCCACAGATTTGGTTAAGGATTTCTCCTTCAAGCAGCGGGTAAATAACTTCGCTAGGCTCTGGGATAATTCCGGGTTAATAATCTTAAAGACAAGCACTGGAATTTTCTCTGGGCTAGTGGCTTTTTTAGGGTCAAGGCTTATGATAAGTCTTGAGAATCCCCGTGCTGAAAAAAAAACTGTTACTGAAGTGTTACGTGTGAAGTGGGAGGTTTGTCATCTCACATTGAATCAAAGGAGAGATCACGACGAAGGGCTTCTCATTATCTGTCGAGTGGAATAGGACTTTGGGGCCATTTAAAATAGTACGCACATCCGCATTACGTTTGCTCATAACATTCTTGATGATCTTCCTGAATTCTCTGGATCAATTTGTTTCTTTTCACTGATGGCCTCAACCGCGTCTACACAGATAACTTTACATTTTCCAAGACTTTCTTGCAGCGATTTCAGGTGATTCGGAATGCACTAAGAGTCGAACAACACCGCGCTTTGCGATAGATACTGAATTAGTTGTTACAGTCATAATGTTTCTCAAATTACTGCCAACATTAACAAACAATTTTGTTGATGGATCTATTGTGATCAGACAGTACGTTGCTGGTTTCTGAGTTTATGGAGTGGAACAAAACCCAGGTCAAAGAGTCAGATAACTGTCTCAGATAATGGTTGACAGTATTCGAATAATATCGGAGCAGATCGATAAGTGGATTTCGCATAAACTCAGTGAAAGTCAGTGAGTTCGTTTTGATGTACGTTCGATATGGAATCTGCGAAATGCGAATGATCCATTACTTGATAGAATACTGATTTGTGATAAGAAATTATCAGGATTAATGTCTAGCGGTTCGAATTGAGAAATCTAAGAGCTGAGTTCGAAATCCAGTTGAATCCATTATATTCACTACGTGCTAATAACCTTGGGAAAGGCATGTATCCTCTTCTTTCCCCCTAGCAGGACAGACCGCGTTCTATAGCCGCCGATCGCAACTGGTCTACCTCAAAAAGAAATGGCAACCTACTGCGGGAAAGAAAAACCTGCCTTGTCAGTCCTGTATCAAAAGATACATCATCGTCTACGCGTGTATCACGCATGGTACAGAAATGATTGACTGATAAGAAATTGATTCTTTATGACAATCGTAAATCATTGGCTCATTGGCTTAATCATGACAAAGCCTTTAACCACTTTTCAATAACGAAATTGCTCCAACAGAAGACTCTTGTAACTGTCTGGTCAACTGCTATTTGTGCTATTGTGACACCAAGCCGTCGATCCGTGGCAAACTCCCAGTCGCGGCGCGAAGCTGTAAGGTTTCTTCTTTTGGGGTTGACTCTGTGTCCCGGTCGTTCGGTGGTCGTCCAGGGTCGAATCTATCGGTTACGGCACCACTATGTGGCACTAGGGTCGAGTTCTGGTCGTCAATGTTAACGGCTTCACCAGTTGTACAGGTTCAATGCCAACTCTATCGTTCCCAGCTCACTTGCAACGCCTGGTTACTGGGGAGTAACCTGCTTGATCTCAACTCTAACCTACCCACGTTGTGACTTTGATCTTAGGTAGACGAGGTCAATCAGGCGTCGGGCCGTAGTGTTAGCTGAGTCCAAATTGAAGGTGGCATTGCACAGGCGCAAAGAAAAAAAATAAATGAAAGAAAAACGCAAGAGGTTCATGTTAAGAAATAACAATTCAGGTTTATCCTTCCGTTGTATACAGGAGCGTGTTTTTCTCCCAGCCCGTTTCCTACGAAATGTGACACTTCTATGCTTCAAGCAAAGTGCTGGCTTAAATTCGTTCGTCAGTATAACTTGCTATTGGTAGTATCAGCGAAGTCGGAGGTCATGGAATCTCTTGTTCAGCTTCTCCGAAGCAACAACCTGGTTCAAAACCAGCTCAACTCAACTTCAACTCAACTGCAACTTAACTCCAACAGCAACTTTCTACTGCCAAACGACACATCGACGGTCGTTTATATGGGTAACGACCAAAACCCGGTGTGTGGGACCGATGCGGCCTGGGGTTCTCAGTAATCTCTATTTCTAACAAGAAATCGCTTTGTTGTCAGGACAGGAAAATAGATTATTTCCCATTTTTGGAAAATTAACCAATTCCCATTTCGTGGGGGGTCTCCGTCGTTCGTGAGGAAAGGTCGGAGGAGAGCTATCCTCCTAGACTCTTTCTCTCTCACATTGATATCTCATACCAATCCCTTCAGTGGGCGTTAACATCTTTTCCGTCTTTCTCATCCATTCCCATCCGCCCTTCACCATGCTACCATATGACCAATGATCTCTCGGCAGTGCGGGTGTGGCTAAGCTGGCCTCCTTATAATCTAGAATTTTTGTTTACAAAATTCTCCTTGCCAATTAATTTTTTTCTTTTTCCTGGGCCACCCAAAAGTCATTTATCCAGCACTCTTACCGTCTCATTAATCACTGTCAAAGTTTGCCATCTGGTTCTTTACGCCAAGTTAACTTTATCAGGGAATCCTTGACTTATTATGAGATGAAATTCTTTTATCTCGTCAAATTTCAATTCTCCACTATTTTCTGAAGATTGGCAAAAGTTTACAATTGCCACATTACCATTCGACGTCTTATCAATCCTCTCACCTATATCGAGACAATGCCAAAATCTTATAATTGTCACATTGCTTCTCTTCGCCTGTATCCAAGAAAAAAATTAAACGATATCTTGGAAAGATAATTAACATTGATTCTCACTGCCTGTCTCCAACCGAAATTTTTACGACCAACACATGGTTTGGCCGATAATTCTATATCTATCTCCCTCGGCAATAACTCGACAGGACAAGACCTCACACATGTCTTCTTCTGCGGGCTATTTTTGTAAATAACATAAAATCTTTCTTTTAACTTCGATCAGTCTATCTTTCGTTATAGCTCTATCTTTTCGCTTTAAGAATGTCTATTTTCTGTTTTAATTTCTATGGTTAATTATTTAGCCAATTACCATAGCTAAATCGTTTCACATTATTTATTACAGCATTCAGGAACCTAAACAACACATGATTGCCGAAGTCTACGGCTTGCAAATAGATGAAATTCCAATTCCGTTAAGCTGTTGTAGCATACCAACGGACGATAATGGGCATGTCCCCATTCACATAAATACAGTAGTAAATACTGTATGTTCGTCTGTATTTGGAGATTCGTCTCCAGCAGTGCTGGTCAAACTCTCTTCCTCTGAGTAGAGAGGATCCCCTGACGAGGCTGTGTCGAAGGGCAGAGCCTCGTCTCGGGAAAGAACTAACCTTTCCATTTTATGCAGGGTTTATGAGGAACTTTTGAGCGAGCCTACGGGCTCGGAAACCCGACATTAAATTCGGCCTTGTGCCATATCTGACCGAGTGGGGCTCTTGGTAGATATCCTACAGTTGGAGATTCATTGTGGAAATCACTTGACTCACTTTTAGCAATTGACTACTATTTTTACGCGCCGCTAGCGAATCTTATATGTGTTGTTCTCGTCCTAAGTATTATCGTTCATTACTAACCTTCCTTTGATTATTCTTTTCATTAGCCTTCCCTAGGTTTTAACATAAGGAAAATGCGACCGGAACGGGTTAATTGACAGGGTCAATTCTGCTTCATGTTAATGATGTCATATATTTTCAGGATAATACAAGAGAAGATTAGTGATGTGGGATACAAGATTTTGCGGCATCAATCATAATACATCGATCTAACACGCACCGACTTACATTTTTTCATGCATCTTGACAATTTATTAAGCCAAAATATATTCCGCTACAAAGAAGATGCAGAAACTGCATTCGAATTTTTCTTGGCATCCAAATGTTTTATCGTAACTCGATGGCAGAAATATATTGATGTTTAGGGTTCAAGTTTTCAACTCAAGCAAGGCAATATAGCCACTAAGATGCAAGCAGTTACTCACCGTTATAGATTATAAGAGAAAATAACACTATTATTGTATTGTTCTCGCTCCTTAATAAAGGATCGAGAACACTACAAAAAGCCACAATATAATGATTGACATTACATTTAAATTTTTGAAGATCAAAGTTGATTGGGACGCAAGAAGATGCAAATTTGGGTTTGGTTTGTTTTGTTTTACGGCAATACCTCAATAGTTTGGTTTGTTTTGTTTTATGGCAATACCTCAATGGTTTATTTAATGCCGACAAGATTTTTAATATTTTGCTGCTAATATTTCTTTTCCAAAAATGTATTGCTAATATTTTTTCCTTCAAAATGTATTGCTGGTAATAAATTTTTTGAGCTAAAATTTATTGATGGTATTAAAACCTATTTTACACGTTCATATGGATTTCACCCCCGTTTAGGGGTTAACTATTTGTCCATAGCTGGAATCATAACAGGAGCTACCACTCGAGTGTGGGTGGATCTGGGAACACCAGCAATTAAGATGTGGTTCCACGCTCCTCAAAATCCTCATGAATAGAAACTTTGCTGTCGGATGTAGTTTATCGTCTTCTATTTATAGAAAAGGCACCGAGAAGCTACGTCTCTGCTGTTGCAAAGTGATCGAAGCCAAGATGCCAGGTCAGGAGCAGTAACATTGCAGATTCTTTTTGTGGATTTTATCAAGAATCCCTAAATATATATATTAAAATGTTTAAAAGACCTTTAAAATACATTAATTCGGGAATAAAAGTTAAAAATAATGGTGTCAAGCCTGAGATCGGTCGATCGTTCGATAGATAGATAGATAGATAGATAGATAGATAGATAGATAGATAGATAGATAGATAAGAAGGGACAGAAGTAGATAGATAAGAAAGCAATGTGATTAAACAGATAGATAGATAGATAGATAGATAGATAGATAGATAGATAGATAGGAAGGAAGGAAGGAAGGAAGGGAGGAACTGAATTAGATAAAGCAAGAAAGAAAGAGCGATAATAAGTCACTGGTGTAGATAGATAGATAAAGAAACTCAATAGATAGACAGATAGATAGATAGATAGGAAGGAAGGAAGGAAGGAAGGAAGGAAGGAAGGAAGGAATGAATGAACTGAATTAGATAAAGCAAGAAAGAAAGAGAGATAAGAAGTCACTGGTGTAGATAGATAGATAAAAAAACTCAATAGATAGATAGATAGATAGATAGATAGATAGATAGATAGGAAGGAAGGAAGGAAGGAAGGAAGGAAGGAAGGAACTGAATTAGATAAAGCAAGAAAGATAGAGAGATAAGAAGTCACTGGTGTAGATAGATAGATAAAAAAACTCAATAGATAGATAGATAGATAGATAGATAGATAGACAAAGAAACTCAATAGATAGATAGATAGATAGATAGATAGATAGATAGATAGATAGATAGATAGATAGATAGAGGTCGACAAAGTTAACGCAAAGAGAGTGAGACAGGGATAAAACTGAATCATATAAAACAAGCACAAAATGAATTGCATTTTATTTTTCAGCACATGTTTCTTTAAGCACCTGGAATATAAAATCAATAATATTCTCGCTCATATTTTTATCGAATTATCCGAATATATACATGTACGAAATCATTAAGTCTCGATATATATTATTCAGTATCTATCTATCTATCTATCTATCTATCTATCTATCTATCTATCTATCTATCTATCTCATACTTATCATTATCTCTCTATTTATGTAATCTATTTTATCATTATCTATCTACCTCCTTACCCACCTAAACTTGAACATCATTATCTACCTATTTATTTATCCTAGGTTTAACATTATCTATCTATCTATCTATGTATCTATCTATCTATCTATTCCAGGCTTATCATTCCCTATCTATCTATCTATCTATCTATCTATCTATCTATCTATCTATCTATCTATCTATCTAATCCAGGCTTAACATTCCCTATCTGTCTATGTATGTAAATATGTATGTATGTATGTATCTATCTATCTATCTATCTATCTATCTATCTATCTATCTATCTATCTATTCTAGGCTTAACATTCTTTATCTATATGTATCTGCCTAATCTCACTATCATGGACATCGTTATCTATCTATATATCTATCTATCTATCTATACATGTATTATGTATCTATCGCTCCCTTGTGTGTCTGTATATATAAATATATATATATATATATATATATATATATATATATATATATATATATATATATATGTATGTATATATGTGTGTGTTTGTTTATATCTATATAACAGTTTGTTTCTTATTTATCTCTCAGAGTCTGAAAGTTCAGACACGTAATGATTATATTTATTTATCTGTTCACCGATCGATCTGATTATTCGTGTGTTTATGTGGATGTTTCCTGTTTCTTTTTGGACTTTCTTTTTTCGAAATCAAATTGGAAGTAAATTTCACCATCGCCATCCATATGTTTTTCAGTCACCGAAATTTTCAAAATAACCATCTGCAAAAAAAAAAAAAAAAAAAAAAAGTAGAAAAGAGAAAAACGGAAAAAATATCCAGGCTTTCCTAGACGCTTAATTTCGCAGTAAATCATAAATGCAATTTAGCGGCCTGTCATTAAGGCCCAAATGAGAGCTTCAAACCTTGTAAAAACTGAAAACCAAGTGCACAGAATCATTTACCTTTCATGTTTTGTTTTCTTTCTTTCTGTCTATTATTTGATATGTCTACCAATTTATACAGAAGCATTTATTTCACTGATGTTATTTGCCATTTATTGAATGGGGGTGTTTTCCTTTTTTTTTTAGTTCTTGCTGTTTACTCGAATTCAGGAGTTTGCTGATATTTGTCAATATTTGAAAGACAAAGATAGGCCATATAGAGTTGATTACTCTGTAGCAGCAACCAGAAGCAAACAAATCAATATTTATACATACGAAAATGAATCAATATGTCCGGAACCAGATATGCTTTTGTATTATATACACTTGGAATAATCATGCCGAAAGGAATTCTTCAACTTACAGAATCGCCTTGCAGGTTCAGATATGTTTCAAGTGTTTATTTGTCTATTTCTATTTGAAGGCATGTCAACTCCTTGTGGGTGATTTACTTGGGAGCTTCGAAGCAATAAAGTGTGGTATATATTATTCTGCTTTCACAGTTGAATACATGGTAGATACTCAGTTTTTGAGCATATACGTGTTTGTGTGGTCAGTTACTAAAGGCGGTGACATAAATGTGTTTCATCTTGTAGTATTGTTGAAGTTATATTTAGAAATATATTATATTTATAAGAAATTATAGGATATTATATGGATTAATGTCATGAAAGTTATTTCATATTGGTTGTTTGGTGGTATTTTAAACTGATTCGGGTGAAGTCAAGACTGTTTGTTAATCTGATCGTATTGATGCTAATTTTACTTTAAATTAGTATTGTTGGCTATTTTTTTATCTATAAAAAAGTATTGCTGGTAGTTTTACTATAAAATATATTTTCTTTCCTTTTTGTTTTTGTTTGGGTGTTCACTATTTGCCCATAGCTGGGACCCTAACAGGTGCTACCACCTCAGACCAAAATGGATCTCAAAACAAAAGCAATTAAAAGATGCTTTCACGCTCATCAAAACGTTCAATCCTCAAATCAGAGGACTTTCTGCCGGATGTAGTTTATCGTCATACCCCGGAATAAAGCGTGAAAGACAATGATCGTACCGCGTAGAAATTTATTTGAAAAATAATAAGCGTGCCCAAAGAAATTCTTGAAAATAAGTGAGAAAATTGGAATAACTTAATCAAATCAGAATTTGTATCTGATACACAAGTGTATTGATATCGGCGTAGTGTAATGGCTAACAAGCTTGCCTTGCTGGATCAATAAGAACTGAATAGCGAGTTCGGTCATCATTCGGTGCTACATTTATTCGACCTTGTAAGGTACGCTTAGAAAATTACTCAGGCACTTCGAAGTGGTGTAATGGTTAACAAGCTTGTCCCGTTAAAACACTTATGAGTAAATTCTATCTTCACTGAGCGCTCTAAACTTTCGGCCTTTTGCTACACTTAGCAAATCGAAACATGTTTATTGATATTCGAGGCATAGATTATCAAACGCGTTGTTTGTTTTTTTAATTATATTTCACCCATTAAAGGCTCAAGAGTAACTCAAGGTATAATTTTACAGAAGAAATTTGTTTTATGAACGAAAGATTTGGACTGATTTGTACTTTACGACTTCTTAACCTTTAACAGTTTATTGTATAGATACAGAAAATATTTTTAGATGGTAAGAATTTTTTGAAAATAATGGTTTACGGATAGAGGTCCTACGAATTAATCCATAGAAGGGGGAGAAGAGTTGGATTCATACGTTTCCCGAGGGTTTTTTTTTTTTTTGCGCCTAAGTGGATGTCATGAACCCGACGGGCATGGGAACTAAGTACAGGCCAAGCGCGACGTTGCTTCACTTTGCTGATCGGGTGAGAACCGGTGCTTTTTAAAGTTATATAGCTGAATAATGTGGAGACAAGAATGCCAATGGAAGCCTGTAGTCCAGAAAATGCGCAAACATAACACACACACAACATATATATATATATATATATATATATATATATATATATATATATATATATATATATATAATTATTTATTTAAAAATATGATTCCAACACGCTACATAAGAGGTCTCATGTTTCAAAACAAGAGCCGAAAACTTCAATATAATTATTTGAATTAAATTGAATTAAAGTAAGCTCTGTTCTATCTTCAAGCAAAATTTTTTTGGGAATAACTTATTTCTGAAATTTACGTGTTTTAATAGCATATTCATTATTGAAATCAAAATGTCCATGGTAACGGCCAGAGCGATTGTTTAAATAGGAAGGGGTGTAGGGTGTTATGCTCTACTTTTGTATCGAGCACTATATTTTAAAATAATAACAAAAATACTAAAGAACTTTTGGATTATTTACTAACGAGTTCTTTCCCTATTTTCTATATATTTTCACACACACACACACACATATATATATATATATATATATATATATATATATATATATATATATATATATATATATATATATTGGATGCATGTTTCATTAAATATATTGAATGCATGTTTCATTAAATAATATAGAAAAGTTTTGTCTATTTATTTTAACTAAGTTACTTTCATATTGTCTGATAAGCTTAATAACATTATCATTGAAAGACGAATGGAAAACACCATATTGATACAAGTTTAAATCCAATCTAAGCTTTCAGCTTACATAAGCCATTATCAAAGATGCTAATTTGAATATATCAAACAACACACGGACGAACCAATAATGATTGTCCGCCCTTGTCTATATTATATATATTTATATATTATTATTTTTTTTTTTAGAGATTATAATAAAATATATTGAAACCTCTACATAAAAGCTTTCATGTTTCAATACTATGATTTTACTTCTTAATGCGAGTTACTTACCATCGCCTGAAGAAGTACAATCATAGGAGGCGGGAATTGTATCCTTATCCCACGTCTGAGGCGTCCCACAGAAATGTTGAGAGGGCATGAAGAATTTTTCCTCGGTATTGTCGGTAAACCCACTTTAAACCCACATTGGGTAGCATTCGGTTGCGACGTGGGCATACTGATAAATCCCGCTGAAGTGATTATCCAAATTTAGCCATATTTTGTTTAGCACTTCCGGCAGGAATAGAGCGCCATCATTGATGCTTACATTTTACATCTTTAATCTTATCTGGTATAATTAAATTGGAATATCTTAGATGTAGTTCCGTTAATTATTCCGTTTATATAAAGTTTCTTAAAATCATTTTATTGCTAATACAATGAAACGCACTCAACCTTTATATACATAATCACTAACATATGAACGGCGTGTATATCAGCTTTGCGTCCTAGAGGAGATTACCTGAAGACAGTATGAGGTACAAATGGAGAGAGGAAATTGTTCAGCTGTTGCCGATGGTTGTACTAGCAAGTAGTCGTGTGACTGAAGTGATGTTCAACTACTGGTCACGGTTTCACCTAGAAACTGTAACAAGGGTTCTTCAGCATCGTTGGTGAATAAGCCACAGGTTGGCTCTGTGGCTGTTGAATGAACACAAACGTACCTAATTAAGCGACTGCACGGGAAATTATCTTCCAAACCGGTGTTCATCCAAAATATATATATATATATATATATATATATATATATATATATATATATATATATATATATATATATATTAGTGGTAAAAATACACATACATACGCAAAATATATAGATATATATATACACATAGGTGCATACACAAAAATATATATATATTTGTTGAATAAAAATTCGGAGAGGATAGAATCTACGTAGAACTCAATGTTCAGGACAGAGTAAGGATATAATAAAAAGGCTTAAACACTAATATTCCATGGTCATAATTTATTCCACTGGAATCGTAAATACGATCCAATTCATCAGACCTACAAATTCAAAAAGAA